AATATAAACACTCATTAACAAAATTTATTACAATAAATAAATGTTTAGAATTATTAAAAGAACAAGGGGCAATTGAAGAAATAACAAGAGATTATATGATAAAGAAAAAATATTATGATTCTTTTCTGTTTACACCAGAAAATATTAATCTAGTATTTGATGAATCAAAACTAATTGAAGAACCAAAAAAGAAAGAAGGAGAAAGCACAATATTATTTGCTGATTTTGAATGCTTTACAAATAGTGATTATCATAAACCATTTTGCATTATTGTAATGGATGTAAATGGAATATGGAAAAAGTTTTATGGAATAAATTGTGCATCAAAATTTATTGAATATATTCAAACAATTAAATCTCCTTTATGTTACTTCCATAACTTAGGATATGATGGAAGATTTTTGGCAAAATATGGAATTATTGATATAATTGAAAAGGGGAAGATGATATATAAAATGACAATTAAAATAAATGGAAAGAAGATAGTCTTTAAAGATACACTTGCGTTAATCCCAACAAGTATCTCCAAATTTAAACAATTCTTTAAACTTGAAGGGGATTATGAAAAAGAAATCTTTCCATATAATTATTATAATGAAGAAACTATGCAGATAGGGGTAATAAATAATTGTTGGAATAAAGAAGTACCTCATTGGTCTTCAGATATGATTTATCAATTTAAAGAAAATATTAATAAAACACATTGTAAAATTGATGATAATCATTTTAATACAGAAAAATATTGTGAATATTACTGTCTGAGAGATGTTATGGTACTTAGAGAAGGATTTTTAAAGTATAGAGAAATGGTAAAGAATAATTTGAAATTAGACTGTACAGATTATACAACATTGAGTTCATTAGCTTATAACTTCTTTAAAATTAATTGTTTTACTAAAGACATGTTGTTCGAGTATACAGGAAATGTTAGAGAATATATTAAAAAAGCAATCTATGGGGGTAGAAATATGACAGGAGAAAATAAAAAACATTATGTTGTTGGTCAAATAGTAGATTTTGACGCATGTAGTCTTTATCCCTCTGCTGTAGCAAGATTGTTTCTTCCATCTGGAGTTCCACGTGTTATGAATAAACCAATAGAATGGTATTTGGAACATTTAATGAAAGAACAACAATATGAAACTACACAATATCGATTTATTTCATATTTTATAGTAACAATAGAAATTACTA